AATACGATGATGAACCTGCCTAATTGTTCGCCCGATGTAGCTGGCTCCGCAGCTGCAGTCAAACTGGTAGATACACATAGAAGAGGCGAATTTAAGTAGTTTATCCTTATTTCTCGAACATAAAATAGGTGTGGTTGTAAAGAGACAACGTACCTCTGATAGATAATAAGTTCTTTTAACTGCATTCTTAAGGCGCTGTGTTATTATTTCGCTGATCTTTTCATCGAGAAACTGCAATTTTATGAACATTGGTTTTTTCGGAAATGTGGCCATACTGACTCTCCTTGTAGCTGAATTCATATCTTTCACAATGAAATTATCTGGATAACCATTTATTTCTAAGTAATTCTCTAATAAATCTTAAGCTCCTCATTGAGGTAGTCGTCTGAACAGATTAACCTAGCTGTATGAACCAGACACTTAATCAGGTTACGTTTATATTTCAAAGGTACAAAACTCAAAAAATGAGTGTACTGACCTGTTGTAGTAGGTTTCCTGTTTTGTTTTCTTACCTAGTACTCTACGCTTAGCCTCAATATTTTACTTATCAATCTGCACCATCTATAACGTGAGTGATTTGAGCGAAGAAACCTATGGTCAACCAACAGCCACAACAGACAACAATCAGCCAGCCAGTATAAATGGGAGGAACCTGAAAGAAACAACCTCCTTCACCCACCAACCCACCCACCTACTGATCTGGGAAGCATCCTTTCAACTACAGGCGAATCACACTGACGAGGATATCAAAGCAGCGAGGAGTGGAAAAGCAAGACAAGCTTTCATTACTCTCGTCTCGTCAAGTCTGTGTGCAGGAGGTCAACATCACTACTCAGAATCAAAAATAACATCCGGATTTTTTTCCAACTCCAATGTGAAGTCAGTCAGTGCTACTCACTATACGGATGGATGAGAGACTTGCACTGAGCGTCATAAACAGCATCTCAAACAAACTTCACACCTTCATCAACAGCTAGTTGTCTTCGCTCAATACTCCGCTCAAGATGAGATGGCCGGCTGGCCAGAAAACATCAGCGACAGGGAGGGATCTCTGTCAATGAGCGAACCAACCAACCAACACAGCAGGAACCGATTGTGAAACAAATAGGCAGGAAGATGGATGGGGGTGGATTGGATTGGCTGGCCATACTCTGAGAAAGGAAACCATCAAGTGAGTGACATGACTGGACAAGCCATTGGTCGAGTGGGACCAGGCCGAAAGGGAGGCGTGTGGCGAGTTGGTCGTCAGTGGAAGGGTGAGGGTGACTTGGAGGAGGTCATGTGAAGAGGAGGAGATGAAAGCATGTGAGTAGACGTGCCAGGAGCGGAGTGAAGACGTTGTCAGAATACAGAAGGCAGTGGAGATGCGTAGCTGAAGCCTTTTGTTTCTCTGGGAATTAAAGCATATAATATATATATTTATGAGTAGTATGCCTTAATCTGGATGAAATTTTTCAGTTCAACACTGGGATATTAGGCTTAAATGCATATATGGAGTTTAGCTTGGAGAGAATTTTTGTTACAACAGTCTCAGTATTATACTAATTTGCATGTCTAAGACAGTATTTGAAAGCCTGTTTACGCTGTGTTTGGGTTAGGGTTATAGTTATAGTCACTGGCAAACAATTACACATGTTCACTGTTAGATATTCAGTAAACAATAATAACGCCCTTTGAAAAACAATTAAAAAATCACACTGAAATGTACATAAGGATTACGTTTTTTAATTTACGTATATATTTTATTGATCGTAAGCTTAGAGCAAATAAGTACTTCAAACAACAACTGTTGAAATGTGAACCATTGAGATGAGCCAAATTTCTAATGCTGATGTACAAAAATAATAATATTTACATTTACTGAACAGTTCCCTTGAAAATATTATTTCGCGTTAACTTGCCATGAATTTGATTGTAATTTTTTCGACTATTATTATTATTATATCCTCTAATTCCGAGAGAAACAAAAGGCTTCAGCTACGCATCTCCACTGCCTTCTGTATTCTGACAACGTCTTCACTCCGCTCCTGGCACGTCTACTCACATGCTTTCATCTCCTCCTCTTCACATGACCTCCTCCAAGTCACCCTCACCCTTCCACTGACGACCAACTCGCCACACGCCTCCCTTTCGGCCTGGTCCCACTCGACCAATGGCTTGTCCAGTCATGTCACTCACTTGATGGTTTCCTTTCTCAGAGTATGGCCAGCCAATCCAATCCACCCCCATCCATCTTCCTGCCTATTTGTTTCACAATCGGTTCCTGCTGTGTTGGTTGGTTGGTTCGCTCATTGACAGAGATCCCTCCCTGTCGCTGATGTTTTCTGGCCAGCCGGCCATCTCATCTTGAGCGGAGTATTGAGCGAAGACAACTAGCTGTTGATGAAGGTGTGAAGTTTGTTTGAGATGCTGTTTATGACGCTCAGTGCAAGTCTCTCATCCATCCGTATAGTGAGTAGCACTGACTGACTTCACATTGGAGTTGGAAAAAATCCGGATGTTATTTTTGATTCTGAGTAGTGATGTTGACCTCCTGCACACAGACTTGACGAGACGAGAGTAATGAAAGCTTGTCTTGCTTTTCCACTCCTCGCTGCTTTGATATCCTCGTCAGTGTGATTCGCCTGTAGTTGAAAGGATGCTTCCCAGATCAGTAGGTGGGTGGGTTGGTGGGTGAAGGAGGTTGTTTCTTTCAGGTTCCTCCCATTTATACTGGCTGGCTGATTGTTGTCTGTTGTTGTTGTGGCTGTTGGTGTTGATGTTGGCCAGGAATCTTCATCACCTACCTCTGTTTCATCTATGTTCAAATTTTCTCCATAGAAAAAATTAACATCAGACTTGGAGGGAAAATTGTTTTTAAGGACATCCGTGAAATCTATGCTAGGGTCAAGATGTGTAAAATTATTCAAGACAGTTTACAAGACACTAAGGAATTCGGGTTTTTTTTTCCTCCATCGTCAGTGTTACCATCTGTGAACATTGCAGAATGGTTGACCGCAGATGAAATCGTCTCATTTAATTATATCAACAAGAAAGAAAAGATTTGAGTTGTGTCCAAAGCTATGGGGATGAGAAGTTCCGGGCTTTTTCTCGCACCACGAAGGTCTTAGGGTTTGATCCCTGATCGGGTTATGTGTGAGTGCTGATGACGAAAAAATCTTGTTTTTGACGGTTTTTCTGAATGACTTACACACTCGAAATGTTAAATCGTTGGTATCTACGCTTGACTGTGATAAAAATTGGGATGGATTTCATCATGTGCAAGTCGTACACACACACACACCGATAGAGGATGGTAACACTTGATCCCACAGATTAATACCTTCCTCAGCATATTGAAACTTCAGTCAAGAAGCTTTTCGATAAGGAGATGTACACTGAATAAAAAAAACCAGGGTATTGTAGAATTACTTTTTGAAGGAAACTGACCACTACTTGGTACTAAATTATTCAAGTTTATATGTACAATCAACGATGTGAAGTAACAAAGAATTCGTGTTATGCATGCTTATTATTATTATTATCACACAAGAAGAAGGACTAACACCAGTGAAGAAATAGGTTCGTATTTACATAGCGAATAGCAGTCAGAAGTGACACAGTACTCGGGTAGAATCGGACTGAATCATAAAAATGACTCACAACAACAATGTTTATAGCTGAAAGTTGAAAAGAACACACAATGTGTGCTTCACAAAAGTAATAATCAACCAATCACTTGATGCTTATTTTCTGGCACTTTTTTCAAATACAGACTTCTACTAGGACACTTTTTCAACTTACGTAATGTGCGTCGGTGGCACAGTGGTTAGGACTCTCGCCTACCATGCACATGATCCAGGGTTCGAGCCCTCGCCGACGCACACCTGATATCTATGGTCGGCCTGCGAATTATGGGCTGCCGATATCCACGCTGAAAATTCCATACTTGTACTGAGAATACGGTGTGGAATCAAGCTGTAATAAAAAAAAATGACCCAATGAGACTATCAACTGTGACTGAAGAGACCATAATTATTACTGAAGCTTGTATGCAGTATGGTTAAGACTTCATGGAGCAATGTGTTTTTACTGTTAGTATCATCAGTCGGTTCACTGAACACGAAGCCGATGTGCAACGAATGCTAACAGATACTTGTGACTTCATAAGCTATCCAAAGATCTGTCTACAACACACTTGCTCAGTAATCTTTGAGGTGTAGTTACCAGACATTTGAATGACTAAGTACATCCAAGTAGACATCTTCAGTTCCCTCAAAATAATGAAGAAATAAGCATGTTCAAGCCTCTTGTGATGTTCATAGAGGCCGTAGCTATAAATCTGCTCGAGCCTGAATTATGTCATAAGTCTTTTACGCTGCCTTGGTGACTCGGTTTGATTGATTATCTTTTAGAGTAAATGGAAATCTTGATTTGAAATAATTCATGGGACATTGGATCGGTTCCCAGTGGCTTAATGGTCTACGAACTCGCCTTGTAACTAGAAGGTCCTCCTGGGTTCGAACCTTGTCAGTGGGTGCGTACTGATGAAGAGTCCCAAACTAGGACGAAACAGTCGTCTGGTAGTACTCTCAGGTTTTCCAATGGTTCTCTAACCAATGTCAGCTTATGATGAAAACCTGTTACTAATTTTGGTATATTTCCACTTCTACTTAGCTACATTACTATGTATATTAGACGTATATATATATACGTCATATACGTCTTCCCCCCTTATTATAGACAGACATCTATGTATCAGGGGTTGCCACAGTACAAAAAAAACAGGATAGTTTCACAAGTGGAAAAAAAAGATATGCCTCTAAATAAAATCGGCTGTGTATTCCAACCCCCCCCCCACGCGCGCCAAACACACACACACTTGAGAAAAGAACGAAAACTAATAATTCATAAAAACTCTCAATTATGAAAATGAAAAATAAAACAATGCGAAAACGATTGAAATAGAAATTAGTACAGGTATATAAGGGAGCTGGTATAACTGTTTCAAAGTACATATATATATATATATATATATATATATGTGCAAAGTGTCGCATTATATAACAATGGTGTACACTGGACCAATAAACAACAATAAAACAATGCTTTATCAACTATTAAAATTCCTAACATATTACGAATAGGTGGATGAAAGATTTCAAAATTTCGATGAAAACACTGGAAATTCGACCGGGGTGTTTGAACAGTGGGAAAACAACGAAAACCAAACAAAACAACAACAACAAAAACAACAACAATTCTAGCGATAAAATGTTAGTGTTTCCAACAGGTTTAAAAAAGAATGAACAAAGAACAGTGTGAAGGTAACAACAACACGCTGGAAAAAAAATTGATTCCCTAGTTTTGCATCATTTTTATGCAATTTAGAAAAATTGCTCTGAATTTTTATTGAGTGGATATATATATATATATATATATATATATATATAGGAATTCAAAGGAGATGTAAGGCACTCTTAAGCGATACTACACGAAAATGGAGGCATAGGAAAAGGCACACTCTTGACGAAAAAAGTTGATGCAATACATGCATGATAAAGAGATCACTTGGTTTAAGAGAGATTCCACAGTTAGTAAATGCCATCTACGAAATAGAGTAAAAATTTAAAATGATTCAATCATAAGTGAAGCTGATCTTGGACGTGAGGATAAATCTATAGCCATTTCACCTTTTTGTGTAGTTAAACCTCTTTGTGTCTCAGTAACTCTTTTACTTGGTTCCTCCCATTGTGTTTCTTCAATTTTTAAAGTACCACCTTCCGAAGAAGTTTGACTTGATATATTAGAATCTTGATTGGTGGTATTATTGTTAGTAGTACATTGTTCTACTACTACAGTTGAACAAATCCCGTGAAACACCGCTTTCATGCAAATATCAATTTGTTCAGGGGTAAGTTCAGGAAAGTTACTTCCTAAAGTAGACATTGAAGGCCATATTGAAGAATTACCCTGGGGATTGAGCGAATCCATTGAATTATTATTAGCAGGGCTCAAAAATGGTAGTATATTGCATGATGCAGACGGAAAATTAAAATCTTTAGGATCACCTTTTTCGAATTTATTAGGAAATCCAAGAAAATGCGACTGTGGAACCAAGTTTTTAACATCCAAGCCCGTTTGTAAATTATTACCTGCGGGGACTGGTTGATTTATAACTGTGCACACCTCTGGAACACGAAATGCACTCTGAAAGTTAACATTTTGTAGTTCTGAAGAGTTCAGTGATCCTAAAATTGCATTTGAATCTGAAAAGGGTAAGGCATGATTTAAATCTGAATTTATTTTGCAGTTGTCAATTGTTTGGGGAGTAAACGAATTCAAAGGGATATGACAGTTAGTTTCAGCTTCCGCCATTGATGCTGTAGGACTAGTGATGAACTGATTAGAGGTATTCTTTTGCATTCTGGACTCCGCCAACGAGGACAGAATACATTTCGACTGGTGACGATTGACAGCACTAACACAAGTAAACTGTTTACCACATATACGACACTGCATTTCTGTAGTTCTTAAATGCATTTGAAGATGAATAATTTTCATGTGGTACCGCATGCTACTTTTAATCTCGTATATTTTCCCACAAAACTTACAAACATATAACTTCCGACCGTTTATTTGACGTTCACATTCATCAATAAGTGTGTTTAGTTTATCCGCACTAGTTAAGCGCCATCGTTTTGTATCAATATGAAATTTATTTGTCGTTTGAGAACTGTTTAAATCAAAATTGTTCTGGTTTGTGACTTCTGAAGGTGCAGCATGTCCATATTCATACTGTCTGTCATCCCCAGTCTTTGTTACAGTTTGTCTTTTAAGATGAGCTTTGGAATTATTTTCTGAGTTTGTTGATTTCGTTTCATCATCACTTACTCTAGATGTTGCAGAGATTCCGCATTTATCAGTAGATGAATAGTTCTCATCAATATCAAGTACGCTAGACCCATCATTTGTGACAGGAGAAGAAAGACATTTGTTCGAAGAGTTGTTTGGAATGTGATTTTCATTTCCTGGAGTAAGTTTCTCAAAAAATTCCGTCGAGTTATCATTCTTACTGGAGGCAACATTGGAATAGCAGAAGTTTTGTTCTTCTCCGATGATTACCTTAAGTTGCGATTCTTGTTGGTCAGCTTCACAATCTCCATTCTGTGGGATAAAATACAAAAGCTGCAGAGTTTAGGAAACGCAAAAATACATTTCTCTTCCACACCCATTTCACTTATGAGTATGGTGGAATAAAAGCGAAAAACGTTTGTTCATTGACAAAGGTCTACACAATTACAAAATCAGTTCTCATAAAAATTAAAAAACCTGCCAAAGGGGTATTCAATGTATCCGTAGACAACAACACAGTTGGGTAGTTTCACTATAGAATTTACAGCTCTCAGCTCAAACGTCTAGCTGTTGGAAACAGCAGCACTTATCTCTTGATTTTAAATTTTTTTATGCAGTGAAGTTTCTACAGTAGACTCACACATGCTACATATAGACGATGTCAGAACAGTACCAATTTAGACCGTAAAGTGAACATTGTGTGGTTGTCATCATTAAGATGAGCATCTCTTTTCAAAGCTGCAAAGTGCGATTTTTGTAGCCACTACAATTTCGTAAGTATTCTTCCTGAACAATTCAAAGTTATGCTCCTCATTCCACTAAAAAGAAGCATATTCTTTAAAGACAAAATTCATATTTACATATTTTGTTCGTCGAATAAGCAGAGCAGTATTTCTATGAATTTCCTCATAGTGTGACTGCCTGGTAGTAGTTTAAAGTACTTATAATTCAACTAATCACTGAAACGCACCGACCTTACATGGCCAACACATATCCTAACGATTTCTAAGAAAGTGTTCCGTCTAGCTTACTACATTAAGAAACTTAGACTATCTGGAATCACACAATCTCTACTTTCACAATTTGTCAACTCTAGTATCTTACCTATTCAACTATACTGCTCCCCATTAGTTTTTCCTGGGCTACTGAAAAAGGACTATACCATCCTGAGAAGGGTGTTGAAGGTAGTTAGTAGGACTAGTGGTGTAAAACTCAGTTCGTCACTATATTGGTAGAAAGGCATCTGAATACATGCGAAAAATGGTCTTAAACCATACTTTCTGACCCCCAACACCCCCTCTATTCCCAACTCTCTCCTTGTATCTCATTAGGCAGAACCAGAAATCAGTATAAAATAATATATGCTTGTACAACCAAGTATAGGAACTCAACGATACCATATTTGGCCCGTGTTCTAAGTGACAGAGACAATGTTAAGCGCGAAACCTATGACTTACTTTGTTGTTAATTACATAATTTTGACTCTTTTATTTCTCTTATTTGTATTCTATAGTGAACACCTTCTTAAACATACTTAGCAACCTAAATTATTAACACTGGCTTACTTTTTTCTACTTTACTCTATTCCTTCTTTTGTGTATCTACTGGTTGCGACTACATTAGCACTATGAGTATTACAAAATAGTCTTGTCTTTAACCTTCATGTAATATTAGTTTTGTGGTTGCTTTTTGTTCGGCACTATTTAACTGATAATCTTGGTTGTGAATGCCACTATTACCATCCTAAAAATTTTGTATTATGCAGGATAACTCACACTACCACCACAAACACCGCATTGGAGCTGACAATAAAAAAAAACACCTGAAATGTTTATTTTATGATTGTTTAGTGTAGTTCAATCAAATTAACTGATCATCTTGGCTATTAAAATTCTTAAGAACATTTCATAACTTCTTGTATGATTATAGCTGTTACTGTTCACCACGCATACACATATCATAGCTTCCACTACCCAGTACTGAAATAGTTTTTCATTATTGGTGTTTATCTTCCTTTCTACTTGGTATTTTTATTTGCATTTTTTGTTATTTTTGTGTTTCTTTTTGGTTTTTGTTATTTTTTTATATTTAATCTTTGTAATACTCCTTTTAAATGTTTGATAAAATTAGATGCAATATTGTAGATATGTGCTGAGAATTCCACAATGTACTACTAGTACTGTTTCTAAAATAAAGCAAATTATTATTATTACTATTATTATATTTCACTCTGAGCTCAAAAACGAAAAGCTGCGCTAGATAGTGCTCAATAAAACATATCTGTGGATTAAGAACTGCTAAGTAGATTCTAAATTGCAGCCCATTGAACAAGCCTCATACTACGGTGCAATGACAACTACGTATATGTGGATAACAGTTTTAAAAACTTCCTCAATATGCTACGCTGAGATTTAAATAGCTTTAACCACTGAGCGCTATACAGGCGTCAATGAGCTGAATATTACAGAGTAACAAATTCAAAACTTGAAAGTACTGCTGCTGCTGCTGTACAATAGTAAGATAAGAAATACCCACATACGGTGTACAAGAAATTATAATTGGATACAGATGTCTTTTGACATGCATTTTAAAAATGTCCCGAAATTAAATTACACATCCACATCTTTAAATGAGTTCATTTGTCTAAAATAGATGAATAAATTTTGTGGACTATCAGTGAGACACGGAACTGCGTGAGACTAGTAATCATCCCATCCTCATTGATATTCTTAAAGCCGGGAGGTAGGAAAAATTGCACTGAAAAAACTAAATTTTAAAAGTTAATTGATTGGATGTTACAAGGCAAATTTTTGCCCAAATTTGAGAAGGAATTTACCGATTAAAGTTATTTGAAAAGATTGACTTAAAATTTGAAATCAATAAGAGCATGTCTTTATTCGTGAAATAGGCAGTTTTAACTGATTAAGTCTGGTAGTGTAGTTCATACGACGAATAGATAGCCACATTAAGACTGCAGAATTAAGAAAAGTCTTAGCAACACACAAATATGTTCTTCAATATATGATTAGTATTACACGGAATGCAATTCCATGATAGTTCGCCACATAGGTATACAAAGAAAGACAGTATTATCTACAGCATGAAATCTCAGAAAGTCAGGTCAAAATCCGAAAAAAACACTATTGGATTAAAATGTGAAATACTAAGATGCTTAGAAATTTTGCACACCACACAGTGATTATTACAACAAAGGTTCAGTAACTGGTGTCTGGACTAAGGAAATATGCATCAAAATGTAAGGATAAGGCATGAAACATTTCTAGCAAATGTAACACTACATTAAAGATACAAAAACTTACTTCACTTGTTGACTGTGTTTTCATGGAGCAGACGCCAATCGGCGAGTCGTCGTTTGTCATGCAACGTGAATAATTAGGATACTTCCATGTGGTCTGTGGGCTTGTACGTTCATCAGAATCGCCCCTGGATGTGCATACACTAAGCATTACATCACTAATTTTCTCCATCAAATGAAATGAAATTTGAAAGGCTGATAAGAGTTCGCTGGATGACAACCTGTTAGCAATAACTGACGCGCCTTGCACCTGTTAATTGAATATATCTTAGAGCATAAGTACCTTACCATTTTTGAAAACTTCTCTAAATATTCTGTCGTTATTTCCCTGTCATCATGACTCTTGCAATCACCCTCATCACTAGAGCACTTCATAACTCCAAAAACATACGGAATTCCCGGCCAAACTAGGTCACTGCAAAAGCTCCCGACGAAGTAGACAAACAATTCAATGGTTTCAAGGTAAAGATTAAAGGAAAGGGTTCCTCTGAATTGATAAAGGGATCAATGAAGTTTTCAAGCGTATTTTTACATATAAAAGGGTGCATGATATTAGTCACAGCAAAAGCAGTTTTTATCCATATATCGATTAAATTTAAAAATTTATTGACACGTGACACCAATTGAAATCATCAAAATCCTTCAGGTTATGCAATTAGGATTGGTGATTTAATGAAACGTGATACGCGCCTGGCTGTCGGGTTTATTGTCACAGTGAATGTCAGAAGGGGATTTAGGCTAATCCAGTTAAAGGAATTATAACTGAAAGAAGGATGATTCAGGATATACATAAGAGCTGTTCAACAGCATCTGAATGCAAAGTTCCTTTAAAATCCTCCAGGGCCGGATACTTTTTAGGAGTTGCAGATTAAGTGATTTGTTGACAAATTCTAATTTTACTACGTCTGGGAAGCCCACTTGTTGTCGAAAGTTGAAGGAAGGCTTTATGTGTACTTCTGAATTAAACACCAATATGTCTTCTAAAATATCAATACCTGTCAAAAAAACATATATGGAAGAACCTTCTAGTTCTAATGGAGATTATGAAAAATACAGTAAAATAATATTCATTTCTGATAGTGACTGTCCTCACTGTGCTAAACAAGGATGCAATATGGTAGCAAGGCATGGCAAGCTGCATCTCACAGCTGATGACGGTAAAACAAAATTTATGACCAGATCATTTTATTCTGCTCCAAAAACATCCTGTGAATTTCAGCTGACATTTGCTGTTTTATTTTCTCATCCGGAAGGATGTTTAGAGGATGATGTTTTTCTCACTTCATTACTTCTGGTTGATCAACCACCTAGACTCCTTGCGGGTTCACGCTTACGTATTTGTATGAACGACTTTCTGCGAGGAGAGGAAGGAGTACGTGGATGGGTTCTGATAATAGAGGGGAGAACAGCCGGAATTTTGGCCTCAGCTATAGATGCTGTGAACGATGTTTGTCCACACCTACGTGTTTGGGAAAGGGGTATGTTAATTGGTTACAAATAGCTGCGCCACTTCCTTTATCTATCCTCGTTGTATAAATACCTTTACTTTAGCGGTTATATTGTAGTGTTGGAAATCCCATTTCAACGACAATTTGGTTTCAAATTTAATTACTTTTTACAGATATAATTCTTTTTATTTTACTTGCCTGCAATTATTATTTACGAAATAAAATTCTCAACGTTGCTATTCCTTCGAAATCTTCAAATCGGTGTCAGAAGGTAGAGTAAGTTTCTTAGTTCTAAATGTATAAAACGAGAATTAAGTCATATAACGAAATTAATTCATCAAGCTACAACTTTAGCATCTATCTGTTCTAAGTGTTTTCGCGGGATGTGTTTCATTCATTTATGCGAATAAAGACTTTTGTGGGATATAAATCCGACCTCATTCTTTCGCGTCATAAAGAGTAGAGGATATGTTCATACATTATAGAAACAGATAACTCGGATATGTACACTCGTGTGCAGGCCATCATTTATACATATTTTATGCAAAAGATTCTGACCTAAGTTCTCCATAAACATTTGTCTTTTTTTGCATCACACATGGATAAACGTTTTTTATTGAGGTTAACTTGACTGGTTTTCCGCTGTTCTGAACCCAGGTTCTCACATTAGCAGAATGAAACACAAGCAATATCTATTTGTATTCTGTCTACAGGCATGAAAATTCTAATTCCTTGATAAAGATACGTCTTTCATGTGTTTATGTGGATAACGTGACCGCAGATGGTGTCCCTCTGCCAACAATGCTTTGCAATTTTTTTTATTCAAAATATACGCCGTAGTATGGTAGAGGACGTTTTATTCACACCACAGAGTGAAAAATAAGTTTTTATCAACAGAAGTATGTCAATTAGTACATAGTAATGCTTAACTAGAAATGAATCCCGGCATTACTGGGTTATACTCAAGCGACCCTCATGAAAACTTTTTCACGTATCTCCTTTTAGTTTCTCTAATTCACCAGTTATCAGTGAGCCTGAGAAACAGGGAAGGTTAGATGAACATCAGGCTGGCAAATATACTACTAAAGCTTCAAAACTTAAAGCGTTATTTGTGATGTGTACAACACTGCCTTTCTCTAAAGATTGGTTGGACAGTAGTAGTTAGACAGCGACGGCTTCCATAAAACAAGGCAAGCAGGATTTCTTCAGTTTGATGACTATTCAGATAGCCCAGCGATCTCAGAAACGGCTCCAGTGTTGACCTCCTGCCGTAGCACTGGAGATGTAAATAGCTGGTTTCCTTACAGATATATACTGATAAGCATGTGTACAATAAACATAATAGATACATAACATGCTCAAGCCTTTACTCAATACCTGATAACACATCATTATACTAATTAAATCCAAGTGAAGAGAATGCTAATCTACCTTTGGAACAACAAATCAGTACCACAAACTGTAGTGCAAGAAACAAGTTACTAAGGATGCTTGAACATATATCGGGAAGACTAAAGTGCAGTCTATCGACTTCAGTTGATTTCACTGCTTGAAGCTTTGCGTGCAACTTTTAGATTGGTATCAAGTAACACCCTTACTATCTCCCGGTAATTTCAACAGAGCTGATACTACTCTCATTCCGATTGCTTAGTAAAGACTCCAGTGAAGTCCTCCATCGCTTCTTTATTGATTAAGATATACGTGTTGATAACAAGGTCGGAAACTCCATCACTTCTCTTGTTCCTACCCTTCTTATACAAGTATAGTTTCTCATGATGCTTTGTTTATTTTTCCCTGGTCCATTTCAAACACCATTCGATTTTGGCGAATTACAGTAGTAAATATATATCATCAGTGGCGCTGCACAAATCCCGGGTCTCTGAAATGCCAATGATGATAAATGTTCCTCGGAAACTATTTCGGCGCATTACTGACAAGAATTCACGAGTAATACGTGACATGTGATGTCTTCCGCAAAAATAGTGAATAGTGAAGCGACGAACTAGTTTGCGAGAAGAGGTATAGATCCTTTCCAAACAAAATCATTAGTAACATTCTTTTCACACGATGCAGAAAGCACGGAGGGATGACGAAAATTGCCGAAGACTGGAAAATTCGCAAATGCGAATCTCAGTGCAGACTTCCTGCATTTCGTGATCACCACATGTCATTTCTGAATGCAAACAATTTTGCGACCATATCCCATTCTCTAGTTGCACTCTCAAAAACTATTCGAGCTGTCTGAAGGACTTCACGCCCGTTAACGATCGGCTCCAAGTAGATATAATGCTAACTATCTTTTTATGGTCATCTGAACTTCTAGATATAACTTTTCATCCGCCCCAACTACCGGAGAGGGAATATAACCCCTACAGCCGTTCAAGGATGTATTTGTTAACGATTGTATGAAGAGATATATAACCACACCACGACTCACAACTGCGCTTATGTTCCTTGAAAACCTAATGGTCCTCAATCTGATCCAGTCAGCGCAGCTAAACAAATTGACTGTTGAAGGTAAAATGGGTGAGATCCGATTGAATGGTTCCACTACTTTTACTACTTGCACTAGCATGGATTACACTTATCGGTCAAGAGTAGTCTTTTCGGCTCACAATCTTCGTCGTTTGATTATTTGGGCATTAACGACCTCATGCTGATCCTCCTAATTTTGTTTCTGTTGTGAGAATCGATCAGTTTTCTGTTAGTTGAAGTCATCGTGGGGATTGTCGAAAATTTATATTCATTTATAAAAATTCATTTGATTTCAGTCTGTAAATGGTTGAAGTAAGACCACAGAATTAGATGGGTTGTTTCTACCCCGTAGAAATATCTGAGATCTCACCTTATTCTTAGTGGTACTGTTATGTCCACACCCTATAATTCTCTTCAATTCCATGGTAAACCGCGTTAAGTTATTGAAGTGACAATTGTTTCTTAGTCGCAGTTCAGGTAATCTAATTTCGTTGCACCACTCAACTACAAAGCTCCAAGTGGTAATAAAAGCCTTAAGCTTACTGTGTCAGTGGCGTTTATCCCAACAGTTTCCCTGGTTTCCAAAGGAGTGGTCGGTTTAAATGGTCACTGGTCGTGACCAGATTGTCCAAGTCTATTCTAGCTCAAATAAAAACCCAGATAAACTTGCCAGTGTTCTATCCTGCACCTTTCCACGAAGGATTATTTCTGTGATCCTCTGAACACAATGAACTGCTAAATGTGCCTACTAGTTAGACCTAGGCGTTGTGGCTAATAGTGCATGGTTAAAGACAAAAATTTTACTTTGTATACTATCTTGCATTGTGTGTTAATTAGGTCATTTGTAATTCACTCAGCTGCAGTGTATTTTTGTTTGAGTTCACACTTTTGTCGGTTGCGAGTCAGTTCTAGTTCGACTATTGTGTTCGTATTTGGACGCCGGATAACCTGATATTTGACAGTTGGTACCATGTTGATCTGATACATTTTCCGTGGAAGAACAATCACATTTCAGTTGTATATTTTCAATATAATTTTTTCTGGGGCCATTTGGCCTTGTCTTGGATTCTGGTACAAGACTGCGAGTTAGTCTCTTTAAAGGTCATTCGTTCAGTGGCTGTAACCCTAGAGTCGTGGGAAACTTCTATGTGGACTCTAATCACTAACGGAATCATTTCAAACCTATCTTACATTTTGTATATTCCTCATCGCTTTGTGCGCTTTTCTAGGAAGCCGATTAGTTAGGCTGTTTGAACAGATTTTGAACACCCTTCCAGTCGGTTTTGAATAGATGTAACGCTCACGACTTAAGTGCGTCTGTCATTTCTACCAAGCGCAAGCCATACTACTTGCTGACTCTTCAGCCTGGTCGACCTAACCTGACCGTCAGACCTCACTTAGCACTACCTCAAATAGCAAAGGAGAAATATAACAATTGTGGCCGCCGAAAGATGTCTTTATTGATGATGAGCTGAACAGAGTGTACAGGCAGATTATCACACCAAAATAATCTGTCGAGCTCTCTTCCCTTAAAAATTATATTTATCACCATATTTTTCAGTCCTCACAGACAAACGAATTGATCATTAACAGTGAAATGTTACAGGTTCAGTTGGCTCGACGAAATTTTCGGATTCCTAAACTGCATTCTGGTTTCATGTTGTGCGGAAGTTCCATAACGCCAATTGTCGTTGATACTAGCGGCAGAATATGCATTCCTTATAAAGAGGTGGCCCAAACACAGGTTCACGAATGTAATGCTAATTTTGCAACGTAAATGAAGCATATGATTTTATATTTCCTGATATTGGACCAATCCAGTTTTACAGGCCAGTGCCTATGTAAAACTGACACTATATAAGGAAGGGTCAAAACTAACAACTGCTACGGGTATATATGGAATTTTGAAATGAACATTGTCAATGTAGTTGAAGAATGAACGATCAATTCATGGTTGTTTACTCAAAAACAACTCCATATTTTGGCGGGAGTCACCGATACTGAAGTCATCGCTACATCGTACGCTGTTCATTGGGAGACGGAGAAATACTATCAGAAGCATTATTATGATTAATTTTTATGAAACTTTTTCTTAGACTTTGTGTATAATAACCTTATTGTTGGTCCCATATCGGTGCAAGAATAAAGGATTCTTGAGTCACCAATCTGTGTTCTGTTTTTTAGCGTTGGTTATTGCACATTGTTGCTGAAGATCTTCTAAGGACAGCGTTAAGTCCTGTGTAGTTAGACCTGGACATTGACAAACATGATAATGTTGCCTGCAACACGAAGTATCGAAGAGATAAGAACGCCGTCGGGAATGAATGCTCCGTGTGGGTCGAACATAAAGAATGGTGGAGCGTACACGAAGCCTTGTTTCTAATCTAGCAATACCTAGCAATACAGTGTGGAATCAAGCTGTTACCAAAAAAATAAGACCATTACAGGGATAACTAGTTAAGCAACGGATTTAACGTTCAAATGGAAAAATATAACTTTAAAAATGAGTGGAAATTGAAATGACTGAGATTCCAATACATATAAGGATTTACTCT